TCCCAGCACCACTGTCCTCACCACCGCTGTCCCCACTGGTTCCACCACCGCCCCTACTGTCCCCACCAGTGGCCCCACCACTGTCGCACTGTCCCCGCTGTCCCCAGAACTGTTCCCACCACGGTTCCACTCTCCCCACTGTCTCCGCGGCCCCAACCACTGCCCGACTATCCCCACTGTCCCACTGACTCCTCCGCTGTCCCACTGAGCTGTCCCACTGTTCCCGCCACTGTCCCCGCTGTCCCCACCACTGTCCCCACCGTACCTTTGCCCCATTGTCCCACCGCCGTCCTCGCCACCGCCTTCACCACTGTCCCCACCACCATTGTACCCTCCACTGTCCCACTGTTTCCACCTCATTCCCATTGCCCCCACACCACTGCCCCCACCACCACCGTCACCACCACTGTCCACTGTGCCCCCCTGTCCCCACCATTGTCCCCACCACTACCGTCCCCACCACTGTCCCACTGTCCCACTGTCCCCACCACTGTCCCGCTATCCCCTCACCACTGTCCCCGCCAACACCGCCCCCACCACTGTCTGCACCCCCACTCGGTTTTCGAGGGGGGTGGGGGGGGGGTTCGAACCGGCAGCGACCCCCCCGGTTTTCGAAGGGAGGGGGGAGGGGGGAGGGGTTCGAACCGGTAGTGACCCCCCCCCCCTTTTCATGATGAGCTGGGGGGGGGGGGGTTCGAACCGGCAGTGACCCCCCCCGGTTTTCCAGAGGGGGGGGGGGGGGTTCGAACCGGCAGTGAACCCCCCCGGTTTTCCGCCAGCAGCGGTAGAACACGCTCTTTCTCATCCACTTGCTCGTTCGGCTCACCATCGTTCCCGATCTTGCTCATGAAGACCTGGCTCCCGAGAATGATTGAGTCTACCGCCTGTCTTAAGGTCGTCTGCCCTACCGAGTTGCTCGAAGGACTTGTCCATGATGCTGTTCTGTCAGCTGGTTGCTGACGTAGCTAGCATGTCGCTGGTGTCCGCTCCGAGATGGTCCCTCAAGTTCTCCGCCAGCTGGTCCGTCGTCTCGTCGGGGCTATCGTCCTGTAGTCGCTTGCGCAGTGCTTGTAAGGCCTCGCTCCAGGGTGCCTCGTTCAGCTCCTCCCGGTCCTCCTGCACCTCCAGCTCGCCCCGCCCGCGCCCCCGGTGCCGGGTGGTTGACCTGCTGCTCGCTGTCTTGGGAGTCGACCTGGTCCTCTTTAGTGTCGTCGTGGCCTCGGCCTTCTGCCCCTTGCTGGCGCGGCCCTGGTTGCTCCTCGGCCCCCAACCGTTGTTCCGCGCCTCGTCGTTCTTGAACTGCCCCAGCTTCGAGTTCACCTCCTGCATCTCCTGCGACGACATCAATTCGTGCTCCAAAAGAAGCTTGCACCCGCTGCGCTGGACGGAGACGGCCTTCGCGTTCCCGCTGCGGTTGCTGACTTCGCGAATGCCCTCCCTCTCCTTCGTCGGATCGCGATTCCTGGCCCTCGACGGCGGACGCCCAAGGGCCCTGGTGGGTAATGCTGCAGTACCTGCGCATCATCGCCCCAGGCGGCGGGGCTAACTTATTGCAGATCTCGGGCCAGGACCACCCGTGGTTCGCGTCGCCCTACTTTGCGGGCTGCTTCATCAGCTCCTTCGGCTTGTCGCAGTGCTCGTGCGACTTCTGCTGCTCTCTGCCCCGTGCTTGTCCTAGGTTCCCTGTTTGCCACTCGACTGGGTGTGTGTGTGTGTCTCTCTCTCTCTCTCTCTCTCTCTCTCTCTCTCTCTCTCTTTTTTTTTCTCTCTCTCTCTCTCTCTCTCTCTCTCTCTCTCTCTCTCTCTCTTTTTTATTTCCCTCTCTCTCTCTCTCTCTCTCTTTCTCTCTCTCTTTATCTTTCTCTTTCTCTTTCTCTTTATCTTTCCTCTTTCTCTTTCTCTTTCAACTTATCCTTCTCTTTCTCTTTCTCCTTCTTTCTTTTTTTTTTTTCTCTCTCTCTCTCTCTCTCTCTCTCTCTCTCTCTCTTTATCTTTCTCT